CTCCAGTGGGCTACTCGCGTGTAATCGATGAGGGTTCGTGAATGTCAACGGCGCCGGAACATAGTACTTGCACCAGTCCGAGATTTTCTCGTCGATCGCCTCTGTCCTCCGGAAGAACTCAGGGCGTAGGGTCAAGGTGTGCAAGTGCTTGTCGGCCGTAAGGACGAACACGCTCAACGCTTCGTGCTCCTCCAAGTCTGCAAGATCGACACCCGAAGGGACGATAGCTTCTTCGAATTCCAAGCGTAGAGTCACATTGTATTCGTGGTGTTCCACCCCACCCTTGGTTAAATCGACACACTGAATTTCCAGCACCTTGCTGTCATCGACAACTCGCCAGAGGAAGGCCCGGGGGTAGACGCTGCGTTTGCGAAAGTAGATCGATCCTTGCGTCGCCAAGTACCGCTTGGTGAAGTCTTCTTCGTCTCTCGCTACCGGTAGCTCTTGACTGCTGAAGGTGGAAATTGCGAAACGAGCTCGGCTTTGGGTGCTCGCTTCTGTTGGAATCTGAATGTTAACGACGGTGCTTGGGGAGTGCGGTCGGAGGTCGACCCGGGTATCCTTGTAGATTTTCGCCATGATTGAAATGAGAACTGAGATATGACCACTCTCCGCGATATTGAAAAGAGGTCAACTCAAGTCTCCATGGCCGACTGGGGAAGAAGCGGAGAAAGAGTATCGCAACACAGCGGAGTTGAAGGGCAGAAGCCGCAGCTCTTGCGCCGCCTCCAAAAAACAGGTCTTGGCGCGGCCGGGAGCAACGCGCCCAAAAAGTCGCTCCACCGCCTTTGCGGGTTGTCTATAGACTAAATAACCACTACATGAATTATGTGTTTATCATGTGCTTATGACAAGAGGTATTAGACGGTACAAATTATACATAGCATAATCATTAATTCATAGCTTCAGATAATATATGCAGCCCTCCGTCAATCACTCATGCTCCAGGTCCTTGGGGCTCGGGTCTCCAATTCCATCCTCATTGATGGCAAAGAGGCAGTCACTCTCCGGCAGGCACGGGCTGTCGTAGATCTTACATACTCGTGTCTCACCTCGCCCCTTCTTCAGACTTAATCTCGTCGTACTAGCATGTGCAATGATGTTTCCACCAATGGGCTTCTTCGGGTCGGGATTGAACATGTTGGGGCCGCCGTCTACCTGGGCGACGACCTGGTTTGTGATCACAACCGCGATTCCGAACTCATCTGCAAGGCGCTGCAGAGTGCGCATGAACTTCGCCAGATGGGTCTGGCGCGTGGACAATTCTCCACGGCCGTTGAAATCTGTCCGATACAAGGAAGTGGCCGAGTCGACGACGAGCAGCGAGAAGCGAGTCTCGCACATCATCTGGGAGGCCTGATTCAGCAGCTGGAGCTGATGGTCCGAGTTGTAGGCTCGAGCATACGCCACGTTGTCGAGAACCTCTTCACCGACAAGCCCATATCGTTGCGCAACCGCCAACAAACGCACGGGACGGAAAGTACCCTCGGTATCGATGTACAGACACTTTCCTTCTCCACCGCCCATGTCAAAAGGCAGCTGACAGGTCACCGCAAGGGTATGGCATATTTGACTCTTTCCTGTTCTGAACTCGCCGAAGATCTCCGTGATAGATCCTGTCTCAATGCCACCGCCAAGGAGGGTATCTAGTTGTTTGGATCCCGTTGTGATTGAAATGAGCTCGCTTCGTCGCGCATGCATCTCCGTGGCTGTGGTAAATCCCATGGGTACAAGTTTCGCCGCTGCAGGATACATACTTGTCAGTTATGTTATTGTGGATGCCCATCAGTATCACGGCAGAATCACCTTCAACAAGAACCTTGGTAGCCTTCTGTTCGGAGATACCCTTAATCTGCTCCAGCAAGCGCTTCGGACTGAAAAATCACGAAGACCGATTGTCAGTAAGCTCGGATGGTACTATGTGGTGACTTGTGTTTTCCACTATCAGTTGACTTACGTGTATGCGATCGACTCAACAGTGTGATAGCCCGCGTCAACGAACAGTTTGATATCTCGGCCAGTCAGACCCGCAACTCCCTTTCGTAAGTATAATTAGTACACTTCGTGTAATGTGGAGGGCCGCGGTGGCGCTTCCAAGGATGCCGCGATGCCACCATCTGCTTACCTCTAAGGCTGAGAGGGGAGTTGGGGCCCCAGGACCAGGAAGTCCTTCCTCGTAGTCATTTTGGGTCTCCATGTCTGCTGTCATTTTCTCCTAAGCATTCAGTTTGGGGACAGTCAACAGTCTATTCGACTTGTTCGACTTAGACAGCTAGGGAATGCACAAAGCAGACGAGCTGAACGCGAGACGCGTGTTCTAGATCGGTTGTGCCGTCCTGGGTCAGAATTGACTAGGCCGATGATGAAAAGAGCGTATTGAGCTCTGTAGAATATCTGTCTTGCTAAGCCTGCTGTTCACCTGGCGCTGGCTATTTTGAATGAGAGGGTGGCGAATTAGCCTTATTGCTCATCCCTCAACAGTGATGGAAAATGGACGCGTTGAGGCAGGCGCGATGTCACGTGCCGATACTGATGCCTATCAGGCGTTGCTGCCTGAGGGCCGTGGCCAGCCGACTACTTCGGGCTCAACATGCGTACATTTACAGATGCGAAAGGCCTAGTGGCTTCCTCGATACAAATTATGGCATACTGATGGCTGCCATACTATGATAAGTCTATCTCTCAATGTCTCACCAGTGCTTCGTCTTAAACCTAGAGCCTTGCGGGTTTCAATGAATCGAAAACTCCCATAAACTACCCCCAAATACATTGATTCCTGATGGTGACATGTGATAAAAGCAATATGAAGACAGACTAGCTTGCTCCAAGCTTCCAACGCATCGCAGTGTACCATCTATCCAGTCACTAAGACCTAGGGCTGTCTATGGTCTCGTGGTTGATCGGTCCCTGGTCGATCGGTCTCAACTGGTATGTCTCAGTCGAGCCTGTCTGAATGCTCTCATCGATCAGCTTGCTGATCCTACGTCGAAAGCTCTCGGATGAGGTTCGATGATGCCCTAAGCAACCATGAGCGCTGGTCTCATTCGACCATAGCTTACGTTCTTGACGTGACATACCTTCATGTTTTGACATGCGCTTATAGCTTTCGAACGGCTTTCTTACCCAGGAATTCCGAGGATTGAACCAACCCCTCGACCGTCTCTTTTTTCCTGGGTCAACGATCGCCTCAGTTTCACTGTTTGCACGGATTGTTGGCTGTGGTGCGCTGTTTGTTGAAAACACACGCATTGCCTCGGCCCCGAGCTCGATGTCTGGAATCTTCATGGAAAGCCGTGGGTTGAGCAGGTTATGGTTGGGCGCCAGTTGATATGATCTTGTTGGCCGCTGGACGCCACTTGCTGGGACAAGCGATGGCTGACTCTGCACGGGACTGGGAAGTTCTGGCGTGTCTCCCGGCATGATAATGGACTGCCTCGGTGAATACTCCTTGGGGGTCCAAATGCCTTCGACTTGGATGCCCTTTTCTAGCGCCCTGGCACCGAACGGAATCTCAGTTGTCTCGGCCAGGATCCTCTGCATCTCGGTAGCCTGCTCGGTCCTCTCACGTTCCTCGGCAGCAGCGTACTTGTTTGTCACCCTTCGGTTGTACACCAGAACACAGAACGAATAGATCAGAACGATGGCCTTGTTGCATCAGTCATATGGCTCATAGTGCATGACCTCGCGTCTTACCAGAAGGCCCGCAAGCACCTATCTCGCTAGTTAGCCGTGGTTGTCGGTTTCTCGACTTTGGGTCGAAGGACTCACGAAACTCAGCTTCTCCCACAGTGCCCATCCGAACCAGAACTGCATTTTAGACTATGCCGGGATGTCTCGTGGTCACCCCGGACGTGTGTTCGATGTGATGAACGTGGTTGTAGAACTATGTAGGCTATAGGCAGAACGAAAGTATCGGCAGTATGTCTTACTTTTGAGCTCTTGTATGAGGAAGTGAGAAGTCCTGCCGACATCTTTGTCAGGAAAGAGGTGCAACTGTCGTTGGACGCAGGCAACAATTTTTAACGCAATCGAGGAGGGAAAGTACGAGCGCATTGTGAAGATAATTTACAAAAACGGAAGGTGAATCTCCAGTCCACGACGGTGCTCGCTCGCCGATACAGGCATGATTGCAGTGGGTGGTGAGTTCTGATGGCAGGGGACCAGCAAGTCATAGGTGTTTGGTAAGGGATCTGGTGTCCTCGGCGTATATTTTGCAACATAGTGGCTGGTACGGTGCAGAGTTTGGAGATGTTTTTTGTCGGTGGATATATATATTTTGAGTAATATTTCACATTATTTAGAGAAAGGTCATATTCATGCCGAGAACAAGGACGAGTCGATAAGCAAAGATAGGGAGACAAAGGAGTATGCGAAGAAATAACAAAGATGGCGGGGCGCTGGAGTAGTGAAGATGCTGTCCATGTATATAGAGCCCGAAAACAAAAAGAACAAAAAAGTAGTTGTCCAGCCAGATTGCCAACTTCCCTGTAACGGGGCGGTGTAATCTGGTGACGCCATCCTAGGGTGGAAATGTCTCTGCAGAATTGCTTCCCTCAAGGGTCACTTCCATTGCTTAGCGCCGTGTAGCAATCGTGGATTACTCGCACGAGTACAACGACGACCCCCGGATTCGTACCAGGCACCAGTCCCGCTGGCAATTACCTAAGCAAGGTTATTGACTTAACGGCCGACCTCCCACTGGACTATCCATGACAGATTAAGAAACAGGACATCAACAGAAATTTATATAGAACTCAAACATCATGATTACCCGCTACGTCAATCTACGAGTTCAGCACAATAACAAGCGACGATTGAGTACCACACTAGAAATAGTATTACTCGAGTGATAATTCCTCCACTCTACTCCGACAGGAAGACCAACCCTTCACATCCCCACCACAGACACATATCGATAACAGAAGGAACAGGATTCAGGAACAAACGACACGAGAAATGCCAAGCGACAATACACCAGCCGTACAATCCACAGGCTGAGTTCAGGGAAAGATTTTGATGGAGCTTCTGCACTTCTTGCTGCCGAACACAGAGGCAAACCGATCGCATCGGCCGGAGCAGCACTGGTAGTCATGAGTGCAGCGGTTTCTGTTCGAAAGGCATGCTCCGCCACGAGGATCCATGCATGTCCCATTGGCACATGTATGCAGACGGGAGCAGTCACTGTCGGTAATGCAGCTCAGAGTGCAACGACTATTGAGGCATGTGTATCCCACTTCGCATTGGGATCTATTGTAGCAGGTATCGACAGTGGCATCGTTGTCCGCGGACGAGTCTAGCTCGTCGTCGGTGGCATCCACGAAGCCCTCCGCATCTCCTCGAGCCATGATAGGGAGGGAGCGATAGCTCTCACTGTCACAGTGCCCGCCGGGGCAGGCCACCGTGATGTTTCGAGTCTGAGTTTGAGGAAGGACGGCACTCGCAGCAGCTCCTCCGATGACCATGAGGACGGCAACACCGGAAACGATCGAGGTCGAAAGACTAGGCATGATGCTCGTCGATCAGAAGGATTAACTGGATAGAAACCAGAAACGTCAGCTCAATCATTACTCTCGCCCACTCTGACACATTACTCATCTGGGAGCCAGACACGTCGAATGATACCTTGCTCGAGAAGTATATGTCCGTGTGGGTGAATGGCTAATCAAGAGATGTCTGGGTAGCTGAATGAATGGATATGTGGGAATGAGTGACTGGGTGGGTGGATGTATGAATAGGAGAAGAATGAAGAGGGTGAAAATGGTTGCACTGTCGAGAAGCATGGCTGAGGTTATAAAGGCCCCATGACTTGACTATAATGGGAAGGAGTGGACTGCACAGTCAACGGAAAGGCAGGCTCGATATAAAACAGGAAGCAACGCCTTCTCGTACAGCGCCTACCCAGTTTCCTCAACACGCGCTGGACATCAATGCACGACAGGCAGTATGTGCTCATACGGCACTTACCATTAGGAGGCGATTCAAGGTATGCTGACGAATGGAACTACGATGCCCCCCTCGGATCCATGGCTGCATTATATTTTTGTGTCGCCGAGACCAGCCTGATGAGAACTCGCAGAGAAGCCTCTCTGTCACTACCCTGGCCCCAGTGCCAGTAATTCGTTGACAGATATTCTCATGAATAGAAATCGACACCCAAAGACTCCAGCTCATGTGCCGGTCTACGTATATCGAGCATGGCAACATGCAGGCATCACGATTTGGAAGCGTAGAAACCAGAAATAGCTGATAGTTAGTCGTTGCTTTCTCAACCCCACATTAAGCTTTGACAAGAGGCGTGGTAAAACCCGGCATCATCAACTGAGCAAGCACCAATGTGTTCAATGTGTTCGATGTATCTGCTTGCACTATTTCTCACCAGGTCACAGGAGTTGAGACTGTTCTAAGTTCATATATACACTGTAGGCCTTCTCTCCCACCTACAATTTACTTCTAGCGGGGATCTTGATTGCCGGGCACACATACAAGGGCAGAGGTGAAGCAGTGACTACAAAAATAGAACGCCCTTTTACTCAATCCATCTGTCCAGCTCTGCGATTGCTCTCTAGATACTACTATACTATATAGTAGGGAACAATTGGCAAAAAGAAGAGATGCTCACACTCGGACTCGAACCGAGGATCTCAGCATTACTAGTGCTGCGCTTTACCATCTAAGCCATGCGAGCTGATTTATGCTTTAGATGCAGAGAAGAGACGTTATAGTGCGTTATCAAGATAGACATAACAAAGTCAAAAACCTAAATGTACGAGTTGAACTCAAAGAATGTAAGATGAAACAACTCCTAGCATAGTGATGTCTTCGGGCGCTGGTCAGTATTTATGTACTGTACTTATGCAAACATTATCATGTTACTGTTGCATAAGCAGAATAAGTGCTCCTCATCCCGGAAACTTAACTTTGATGGACGGGAAGCCACTTGATGGTTAATTGACTAGTCCTCCGAATGACGCTATGGGCATGGCCAACTCCAGACTAAACGATGATGATATACGTACAACCAAGTTTTCCACTAATGGTAACGATTGAAGTCAGGCACATGGCGCGGTGGCAAACGTAACCACGGTCTATGGTACGAATAACATTCTCCAGGGGATCGGAGAGGGGCCCCAACCACTGATTCATTAATAGAATTTTCTCATGGTTGTTGATCCATTCGCCAGGTGGGATGAACCACCCTTTCATAAAATGAACCGACGCCCGAGGCCGCCGATCATGTGAGGGTTGAGTGTTCTTGCATTAATACAGTACTGTACATCCAACTCTCTCTTTGAGAGGATCTGACCACTGCCGCTTGCGCTACACGCTCCCCTCCAGCCTTATATCTTCCTCGGCTCTCTCTCTTTTCTCTGGATTGCGCCCACGCAACTGGCTTTGCGCCACGCATTCTATTGCTTTCCTTAATTACTTCCCCAAAATGGCCCCATTCCGTAACTTCCTGTCTCGAAAGTCCGCCGCACCACCCAATGGCGGGGAGGTTATCACCACCCTAGACAATTCCAGCACTACCAGCCGGTTATCAATTGACGGCCAGCGCTCTACACCTCTGAGCTTCAGGAAGAGCTTTGAGAAAGAGCCACCAGAATATAAACTGAGTGGTATGAAATCATTGAACGAGCATGGAGGGTCGGGAGGTTTATCCCCGCTAACCTGATGATTTGCAAACAGTCGTCGATGCCAATGGCGCTTATCTTCCGGTACTTTAGTCTACACTCCCATTGACCATGTCGCGCATTGATTCTACGTGATTGCTAAGTTGATTGTCCTCGGTACAGCCATCACCGCCCGAGAAACAGAGCTTCTGGCCCAAATATCCCGGTTCACCCAAATCCTCACATCATCGCGATCTTGTCGATGAAAACGAACCATTCTCGATATCGCGGGAGTCTTTCGACTCCTATCGTCGTTCCTTCGTGAGTCTGCACACAACCGGCATTTAATTTCCGCATCCATAGATCTCAGGACTAATCTCCTGTGTGCCAGGACATCTCCGCCCGCTCCCCTGTGTGCTACACCGATGCACTGCCCTCGCGGACATCGCTCGACTCGCGCGTTTCTCGAATGACATCACCGCCATCCACACTTCACACCGGCCTCTGCCGGCAGCCCGAATCGATGGAAGAGGAGCAGTTCGAAGACGTGGGTCTTGACGACGAAACCGAGGTCAAACCCAAGAGGAAGAGCATTTTCTCTCGGTTCGGCGATCTCACAAGCGACTCGCACTCATCCAGCAACACCAAATCCTCGTCTCTGGGGTTCCACATCCCTGGCCGCAAACGAGGACAGAGCAACGTGGGCTCGGAGATGGGCGCCTTCAAGTCCCCACCGGCGAGTGCCGGATCCGAAACTAATGATGCATGATACATTCGCAGAATTTCTGCAATCCATATACCATGACTCGGGGCCGCTGGGAGGATTGACTTGCCAGTGACCGAGGTTTGCTTTCTTAATCGCTCCAACGTGGGACTCGTCGACGAGTTTTGCTGTCTGCCGGCCCCGCTTGCTTGCTGGGTCGACGAACGAACGAGCGCATTGCGTGTTTTCTCATGCTGTCGAATTTCACTATTCTGGCATTCTATTGTCCATTTCAATAGATAATCATTCATGTACATAGTTTTAAGATTTCTATTATATGGCTAATTCCGTTAATGCTACGATTCTCCAGTCTATTCAGACTCTCCGTCTCCAATAAAAACCATGTGGACAGGACGGGAGAGGGGAAGGACGATTGCCGCTCCGTCCTTATCCCGCACAACCCGCCTTATCAGTATCAGCAACCCTGCAAACCAGACAAACAACCGTCGACACCGCTTTCTAACGGGCAAAAAAAATGTAAGAAAAAAAAAAAAGTAGGACGGGCGGACCGCGGCGATAATCCAAGCAGGAAAACCTAGACTCCGCGGGCGGCCCTATCACCATTCACTTTTTGATCCCGCCCAACCTAGTCTATTCCTAAATTTTTTCCTCTCAACAAAACCTCAAATATCCACACATCATGGTTGGGGTAAAGCGCCGCGTCGATACCGGCGACGATCGCGATGGCAAGCGGACGAAGACCAAGACTGCCGTGTCGGCGCCGACGAAGAAGGGCGGCTCCAAGTCGGCCCCCGTGAAGTCGGCGAAGAAGTCCGACTTTAAGAAGGGTGGCGACAAGGGTGGAAAGAAGGATAAGAAAGACCTGAGCAGCAAGAAGAGCAAGAAGGTCCAGAAGGAAGAATCCGAAGACGAAGACGACGACGACGAGTTCGATCTGGATGATGTTGAGGACTCGGAGATTGATGAATTGGATGAGCTTGAGGCTGAGGAGGACGAGGATGTTGATATGGGTGGTGTTGAGGAAGATGATGAAGAGGACGACGAGAAGGAGAAGCCTGCGAAGGCGGCGGATCCAAGTAGGTGGATTCCCTGGTGGTGGTTACTGCTTCTGAAGCTATTGGGAACTAATCAGATCTCGCTTTCGATTGTGCAGACAAGTCCACATCGCGCGAATCGCATATCAAGCAGAAGGCGATGCAGCAGGAACGCAAAGCCGCCAAGCCTAACGCCGATATCATCGCCCGGTCCAAGAAGCTTTGGGAGCAGCTGCGTCGCAAATCCCACGTCCCCCTCGAGCAGCGGAAGAAGCTTATTAAGGAGCTGTTTGAGATCATCACTGGCCGCGTCAAGGACTTTGTGTTCAAGCACGACTCGGTTCGTGTCATTCAGACCGCTCTCAAATATGCCAACCTCGAGCAACGGAAACAGATCGCAACAGAGCTCAAGGGCAGCTACCGTGAGCTTGCTCAGAGCCGGTATGCCAAGTTCTTGGTTGGCAAGCTGATTGTTCACGGTGACAACGAGATTCGCGACTTGATTATTCCCGAATTCTACGGACACGTTAAGCGTCTCATCCGACACCCCGAGGGATCCTGGATTCTGGACGATATTTACCGGACGGTCGCGACGAAGCAGCAGAGGGCCAACCTTCTGCGTGAGTGGTACGGACCCGAGTTCGTTATCTTCAAGCAGGAGGATGGAACCGCGGAGCTCTCTGAGATCCTGGGTAAAAACCCCGAGAAGAGAGGACCTATCATGCACTTTTTGTTCGAGCTCATCAACCAGCTGATCCAGAAGAAGACTTCGGGTTTCACGATTCTACACGATGCTATGCTTCAGTACTACCTCAATGTGAAAGTCGGCAGCGAGGAGGCCAACGAGTTTGTTGAACTCCTGAAGGGCGATGAAGAGGGCGATCTTGTGAAGAACTTGGCTTTCACCAAATCAGGCTCCCGAGTCATGTCTCGGGCTCTCGCATACTCGAACGCCAAGGACCGCAAGCTTCTGACCCGTTTCTATCGCGACACGATTAAGATGATGGCAGGTGACCTTCATGGACACAATGTCATCCTGGCAGCCTACGAAGTCATTGATGATACCAAGCTTACCTCGAAACTCGTTTTCCCTGAGCTTCTGAACCAGGGAATGGACGCTGAAGCCCGCAACGAAGAGT